TGAAGGAGGGAGGGAGAGGGAGAGAGAGAGAGAGAGAGAGAGAGAGAGAGAGAGATAACTTTGTAAAAGTATATTTTACATTTCATTTATATTATTTAATATTTATTTTACATTGTCCATGTTTATTGTTTTCGATGGTTTTATTGTACAACGAATATTTAACTGTTAAATGTAAAAAAACTGTTTTATTCATTAACGTTTTTTATTATAATATTAATATAGTACTTAATTAATATAAAATAATTGTGAAACAACCTAAAATAAAAACCATGTAAAAAATATTTTTATATACATATATGTCGCAAATGACTAATCAATATGAAATAAATGTAAAATAAGTATAAAATAAACATTTTTTTAACCGTTTATTCAACATATGGATTTTAAACGTAAAATGAATGTTTTTTAAATGTTTAATAAAAGTTTTTTTTAATAAACGTTTTTTGTAATAAAAATTTGCAAATGTATTTAAATATGCTAAAATAAATATATCTAAAGATGATAAAACTAAAGCCCAAACGTGGACAAAAATTGGATGTCCATAAGATGTCCCGTAAAGGATATCCATTCAAGGTACGACAACAGATGTCCGTTAAATGTCCATTTCACGTCCACGGACGTTCGGACGTAAATTGGACTTAAACCGGACGTCCACAGGACATCCTGTGCTATCTGGGCATAAACTTAATGTCGCGCTGTTGCCACGTTTAACCCGTTTCATCTCGGGGGTCAAATATTAATATTAATAACAAATAATATTTATAGTTATTGTTTAAATAATACATATTTACCTTTTTAACTATATTCCAATTACTTTTTCTGTATTACACTGTTAAATAATGGTGTTAAATAAATAAGAAATTTGATGTTCTAAGGTTGCATTCTGGGCATTTTCACTGCCAAAAGTTTTATTGTACAAAGTTGTAAAATGGCAAATAAACCTAATAAAGTGCTGAAAAATGTGAAAAATAACTTTTTAAAAATAAATATATTATGTTAGTTATCATTTATATCAGTTATCACTAGGTTTACTGCGTTTAGCGTAGATATGCCAGTTTTTCGAATTTGGGGGATTTTTGTCAATGATTGTATCTCAGATACATCCTTAAGGGTTAAAATCTACATAAACATTAGTTCCCTTTATTTGTATTTCATTTTATATAACGGAGACATTGTAGCAATGTTCGATTTGACTGGTAAAATACTTTTGACCGGTAGTGTATATATGTATGTAGAAAGTCATTTAAAGTAGCTATTTATGAAAAGATAATAGAACCATTAGGCTAAATTGAATGGTTTTTCTTTACTTTTGCTTGTTGTGGGTCATATATTCCAATTAATAAGTTGCCGCCCATCCACATTTGAAAAGGAGATGAGTATTCTTCTGTCATCCGTCGCATAATATCCAAAAATTCTAAAAATTTTAGTATATATTGCTTATGTATTTTATTATCAAAATAAATATTACATACATTTTATTAACGTATATACTCTATTCATAGTATGTTAAAACTTTTTGTAAATATTTACGTATATATGTATATTAGGGTGGCTTTTCTTTACTCTTGGTGAAAATTTTTTGGGGATTTTTTTTGCGCTACCCCCCGTCGTTTCGACGTCGATCGACGAATCATTTCTCACTGGGTGAGAGATGTCAGGGCCCCGTTTTCGTGATTGGCGAATGCGATACGCCCTTTGTGGACATTGAAAACGTGGACATTGAACTACGTAGTCAATGTCGACATTTTGCCAAGTGGGTAACACAGATTTGCGAAATTTTGGTTGCGTTTCGTGCTATACCCAGTGAGAAATGACGTCGAAACGACGTCGATCGACGAATCATTTCTCACTGGGTAGTCAGGTCCTGTGCGATGCTCTTGTACTTAAGATTATTTGAAGTACAAGATCATTGCATGGGATCTAACCATAGCGTGGGACGGGACTAAAATTGTGCAAATCTGCGTTACCCACTTGGCAAAATGTGGACATTGGCTACGTAGTTCAATGTCCACGTTTTCAATGTCCCTAAAGGGCGTATCGCATTCGCTAATCACGAAAAACGGGGCCCTGACATCTCTCAGGCTTCTCTCTGGTGGAGGGAAGTGTGGGGAGATAGAGGGTGTAGGTAGGTAGAGGCGGAAAGCGGAGCAGCAATTGGGGCATAGAGGAAGAAAGACAGAGAGAGGCGGCTGAAAGGTAGAGAGTCAGGCAGGGAGCGCGCGAACATAGAGGCGCGGTGGAAGAGAATAAGGTAAGGCAGGGAGCATAGAGAAGATAGAGAGGAAAGCCGGGGACGTAAAAGTGATAGAGAGAAGAGAGAAAAGAGATAGGAAGGAGATAGGAGGAGGCTTAAAAAAAGGGAAAAAAGGGAAAAAGGGAGCAGGGTAGAGGGTCACGGAGGGGGAGATGATAGGAAGAATGGGATATACAGGGCGGGAAGGAGAGGTGGGGAAGAAGAAAAGGGAAAGAAGGGAAAGCTATGGTAATGTAGAAGAAATGTTGATGAGGGTAAAAAGGAAGAGAGAAGGAGAAGGGAAGGAGGAGGAGGGGGAGGGGAAAAGGGAGGAAGAAGATATATTCGGGAAAAATAAAAAGACGCCTAGATCGCCGGGGACTACGGAGGCAAAAGAGGACAGGAAGGAGGAAGAAAGGAGGGAAGAGGGAGGGGAGGAGGCGGGAAAAATGGAGGGGATTATGGCAAGCTAGAAAGTAGAATGGGGAAACATGATGGGAGAATTGAGAGAGGGACTGAAACAGGACGATAACAGACTAAGGGATGAGGTGGGAGAAGTGATGAGGGAGCAAGGGAGGATGCTATGGGAAGAGATAGAAAAGATGAGGGAGGGGAATAGAAGGCGGGAAGAAGAATGGAAGAAAGAAAAGGGGAAGTTGGAGGAAAGGGTAAAAGAGCTGGAGAGGAAAGTGGTGGAGAGAGAAGGAGAGAAAGGGGACGGGGAAATGAAAGGAGAGAAGAAAGGTGAGGGAGGGGGTGGATTAGAAGAGAGAGTGAAATGGATGGAGGGAATGATGGAAAGGAAGGAGAGAGAAAATAGAAGAAGAAATGTGGTAATAAGGGGGCTGGAGGTTAAAGAGGGAAAGAGAAGAGAGGAAGTGGAAAAGATAATTCAGAAGATAAAGACTGAAGTAGAAATAGAGGAGATGAGAAAGGTGGGGAGTGGAGGAGGAGGGGAGGGAGAAATGGTGGTTGTAAAGTTAGCGAAGGAAGAACAAAAATGGGAGGTCATAAGGAAGAAAGGTATGTTGAGAGGGGAGAAGGGGAGGATAGGGGAGGACTGGACATGGAAAGAGAGAAGAAGGATGAAATGGAAATTAGAGGAAATAGCGAGGAAGGAGGAAAGGGAAGGAAATCGAATATGGGTAGGGTACGGGAAGATTAGAATTAATGAGAGGTGGTGGAGATGGGATGAGGAAAGAGAGGTGTTGAGAGAAGAGAAAGGAAAGGAACGAATGGCGGGAAAGGGGGAAGGGGGAAGGGAGAGGGGGGAGTTAAGTAAAAGTGGAGGGGGGAGAGGGAGGAAGGAAGAAAAGAGATGAAGAGAAAAAGGGGAAGGGAGGGAAAGGGAGTGGAAGGTGATGTTCTGGAATATGGCGGGGCTGAGTAATAAGGATAGAGATTTCTGGGAGGGATTAAAGAGATGGGATGTCATCGTACTGTCGGAAACGTAGATAGAGGATAAAGGATGGAATAGGTGGAGGGAGAGATTACCAGAAGGATATGTATGGGGATGGCAGGGAGCAGTAAGGGTAAAGAAGAGGGGTAGGGCGAGGGGAGGAATGGTAATGGGGATAAGAAAAGGCATGGCGGAGGGAGACAGGGCAGTGGAGGGGAAAAGAAGAGGAATAATGATGGGAAAGGTGAGAGTGGGGGAGGAGAGCTGGAAGGAGTTTATGTGGATGTATGATAGGAGTTTATGTGGATAAAGAAAATATGGAAGAAAAATTGAAGGAGCTAGAGGAATGGACAGAAGGAGAGGGAGGAGGAGAGAGGACAATTATAGGAGGAGACTTCAATGCAAGAACAGGAAGGGAAGGGGGAGGAGTGGAAGAAGGGGTGGAGGAAGGGTGGGAGGAAGAAGGAAGGAGAAGGAAGGACCGGGAGATAAACAGGAAAGGTAGGAGGTTAGTGGAATTTTTAGAGGAGAGGGGTGGGAAATTTTTAATGGGAAAGTAAAGGGGGATGAGGAGGGGGAGTACACATTTACAGGAGGAAAGGGAGATACGGCAAAATAGATTACGTAGTGGGAAATAGAGATGTAAGAGAGAGGGTAAGGCTTATGAGAATAGGAGATAGAATAGATTCAGATCATCATCCATTGGAAGTGTTTATACACGAGGGGGACAGAGGGAGGAGGGAGAGAAAGGAGGGAGGAGGATGAAGAGGGGAATATGGGATAGGCAAGGGAAGGAGAAATTCAAAGAACGGTTGGGAGAGGTGGAGTTGGTGGAGAGGAAGGAAATGGAAGGGAGAATAAGAGTGGCACTTGAGGAAGTGGAAAGGAAGAGGGAGGGGGAAGGGAGGAGAAAGGGGGGATGGTGGGATGAGGAATGTAAGGAAGGGAAAAGAGAGGCAAGAAAGAAGTTGAGAGAATGGAGAAGAGGGAGGTGTGAAAGAGAGGAGTATAGGAGAGAGAGAAAAGACTATAAGGAGTTATGCGAGAGGAAGAAAAGGGAGGAAAATGAGAGATGGGAGAGAAAGGTAGTAGAGACAAAAAGGGAGTCAGATGTGTGGGAAGTGGTGAATAGGGAAAGGAAGAAATGGAAAAAGGGGGCGAATAGGGGAATAGAAATGGGAGAGTGGAAAGAGTATTTCATGGAGTTGCTGGGAGGGGTAGAAGAAAGGGTGGTAAGGGGAGGAGAAGGTAAAGAGAAAGGAGGAGAGAGGGATATCAGCAGAGAAGAAATAAGGGAGGCTCTGAGGAAAATAAAGGAGGGGAAGGCAACGGGGATGGATGAGATCCCACGAGAGGTTTGGAAGTATGGAGGGGAGGGCGTGGAGGAGTGGGTTTGGAGATTCTGTAATGGGGTGTGGAGAGGGGAGGGATGGCCCGAGTGTTGGAGAGAGGGGATAATAGTTCCAATAGTGAAGAGAGGAGAAGGATAGAAGGTGGGGGAATATAGGGGGGTGCCACTGTTATCGACTCTATACAAAATATATGTGGCGGTGTTGGCGGAGAGATTGGGAGAAGAGTTAGAGAGGAGTGAAATAATTCCACAGAGCCAGACCGGTTTCAGGAAAGGCATGGGAACAATGGATAACATATACGTCCTTAATTATGTAATAAACAGGCAGCTGGGGAGAAAAGGGGGAAAGCTAGTGGCGACATTTGTGGACCTGAGAGCAGCATTTGATTCGGTGGACAGAGGAGTTCTGTTAAGGGAAATGAGAGGGAGAGAAGTAAGGGAGGGTTTAGTGGAAAGGGTGGAGGAGGTGTTAAGGGAAACGAAGAGCAGGGTGAAGGTGGGAGGAGAGGTAGGGGAGGCGTTTTGGACGGCGAGAGGGGTGAGACAGGGATATCCGCTAAGTCCGCTGCTGTTCAACATCCTTCTGGCAGATATAGAGGAAGAAATGGGAAGGGTAAAATGGGGAGGGATAAAGATAGGGGGAAAAAGATGTTATACTTTAGGTTACGCGGATGACATGGTGCTGATGGCGGAGGGAGAGGATGAAATGAGGAGCATGATAGAGAGATTGGAGGGCTATATAGACAGGAAAAGATTGGAATTAAACACGAATAAAACGAAAATAATGAGATTCAGGAAAGGGGGGGGGTGAGTGAAGAAAAGAGACTGGAGATGGAAGGGAAAGGCGATAGAAGAGGTGAAGGAGTATAAGTATCTAGGATATACATAATACAAAAGAATGGTAAGCAGGATGCACAGGTGTGGGATAGGATAAGGAGGGCAGCAGCGGTAATGGGGCAGGTATGGGGAATAGGGAAGAGAAGGTGGGGAGGGGATTGGGGAAAACGGATGTGGTTTGACAAATTAGTATGGACGGTTATGGGATACGGGGTAGAGGTATGGGGTTGGAAAGAGAGAGAGAGGGGATGGAGAGAACGGAAGAGAGGTATATGAGATGGATGTTGGGAGTAGACGGGAGGACACCTGGTTATATGATAAGGGAGGAGCTGCAAAGGGACAAATTGAGGAGAAGGGCCGGGTGTAGAGCGTGGGGGTATGAGAAGAGACTAGAGAAAGGAGGAGGAAACGAATGGGCGAGACTGTGCTGGAAGGAGATAAAGAAGAGAGGAAGGGAAGGGAAGGGGGATCGGAGTGGGAAAAAGAGAGAAAGAAATTTTTTATAGAAAAAGGATGCAGGATGGAGGAGATAGACGGGGAGGAGAGAGGAGAGGAATGGGGAAGTAGACTGGTAGAAAGGGAGAAAGAAAGACAGAGGAGGGAAAGGAGAGGAAGTATAAGAGAGTCGAAGTATTATAAATGGTACAAAAGGGTGAAGGGAGAGGGGGTTCCAGAGTACCTAAAGAAGGGGTGGGGGGAAAGTAGATGGAGGAGGCAAGGTTTAGGCTGGGGAACGAAATGAGAGGAAGCAGGTACTGGGAAAAGGAGGATAACAGGAGAGGCAGGTTGTGTGGAGGAGAAGAAGAATCCTGGGAGCATGTACGGGAGGAATGTAGGAATTGGAGGGAGGGAGAGGGGGTTGTGGCAAGAGGTGGTAGACTAGGTGTTGGGGGAGGAGGGGAGGGGGGAGGAATGGATGAGGGATCTAGAGAGAGAAAGAGGGAGAATAGAGGGAGAGAAGGGAGAGGGATGAATGAGGAGAGTGGTGTGGATGAGAGAGAGAGAATGTAAAAGAGAATGAATGAAAGGTCGGGGGAGGGAGGGGCGAGAAGATGAGGGAGAGGGAACAAGAAAGAGAATTGAAATGAAGCAAGAGGAAACGGAAGTCCACAGGCGGCAGTGTGTGTGTGTGTGTGTGTGTGTGTGTGTGTGTGTGTGTGTGTGTGTGTGTGTGTGTGTGTGTGTGTGTGTGTGTGTGTGTGTGTGTGTGTGTGTGTGTGTGTGTGTGTGTGTGTGTGTGTGTGTGTGTGTGTGTGTGTGTGTGTGTGTGTGTGTGTGTGTGTGTGTGTGTGTGTGTGTGTGTGTGTGTGTGTGGTGGTGTGTGTGTG